ACACAGCACGATTCACACAAGCACAAGATCCACACACACACCGCACGATTCACACAAGCACACAAGATCCACACACACACACCACACGATTCACAAAAGCACACAAGATCCTCACACACACCGCACGATTCACACAAGCACACAAGATCCACTTACACACATAGTACAAGATCCACACAAACACAGCACGATTCACACAAGCACACAAGATCCACACACACACACAGCACAATTCACACAAGCACAAAAGATCCACACACACACACCGCACGATTCACACAAGGTCCTCACACACACCACATGATTCACACAAGCACACAAGATCCACTTACACACATAGTACAAGATCCACACACACAGCACGATTCACACAAGCACACAAGATCCACACACACACGCCGCACGATTCACACAAGCTCCTCACACATACACCGCACGATTCACACAAGCACACAAGATCCTCACACACACACCGCACGATTCACAGAAGCACACAAGATCCACATACACACATAGTTGAAGATCCACACGCACACAGCACGATTCACACAAGTACACAAGATCCACACACACACACAGCACAGGATTAATGAAAGTATTTCTGGTCCATAAACAATTATAAATTAAATTAAAAAGTACCAGTTGTCTTTAAACTTCACAGCATTTATGTGTGGATTTTTGTGACTCCCCTGATTGGCTTATACGAGCTTTGTGATTGATGGCAAACCATTCCCTGTTTAATAAAAATGCATTTGTGTATCGAGGCACGCCAGGGCAGTCTCTAATGTCAACACAAATGCATTGATGTTTATGGACCAGTAATACTTCATAAAATCTTTTTCTGTGCAGCTGTGGATCTTGTATGCTTGCGAGAATCGTTCTGTCGGCGTGTGGATCTTGTCCTGTGCATGTATGAATCACATATGTGTATTTGTGAAAATTGAGACCGATCTAGCTCTATAGTAGACATGCTGGTCTGTCCTGCTGTTTTCTGTAATAAGTTCCATAAACCTGACATTGTCCAATGAAAAGTGTCGTTAGCACTGGAATGCATACATGAGCTTTGTGTGTCACTCCTTTTTTTCAGAGTGAACGTCGCTCTTGTTCACGCTCATTTATTCAAAACTGATACGTTCAGTTGGCTGTTTACTAAAAAATATGGGTGTATTCAGTGAACGCCGTTAATTGAATGCGTTGGCATGGATGATGCCTGGAACCTCTTTTTTGTTGGTTTCGGGGAACATAAGTACAAGAGCTAACACCTGCTGAAAGGAAAAGCATCACTCTTTTATGCTTGTGAACACCTTGGGAAAGCACAGAATAAGCAAACGGAGTGTATACTTCCTGGACCAGTTACCTTCTTGACATGATATGCAAAAGATAAAAATGGAGGAATGGATAGATGCTTTTATATCTAAGGGAAAGATAATCCAGGACATTCAAACTTTTCTTTAATGCTTTTTTGGTATTATATACACTCTTTTTATATTGTCTGTCATATTTTTATCTTAATGATATTTTTGCTTTAACTCTTTGTACTCTATATAAGCTACTGGAACCAGAATTTCCCTGAAGGAGTAATCCCAAGTGATAAATAAAGTCGAGTCTAAGTCTTAGTCTAAAACACAGGATGAAGATATCCAAAAATTAAAATAAAGCTGCTTTTTTTCTTTTCTATTTTTCTAAACTTATACAAACCTGGAGATGCACCTAAATTCCCAATTCCACACTTGGCATTTCTGTATAACTCCAGTGGATCTCGTCTTCCCGACTTTAAAGTTCACTGTGTTCCCCTTATTTTAAGGCTGAGCAGCTGTTGAATTTACAGCACACTGTGAGCGCAGAAGAGAGATATCTCGACACTGAACACTTTACAGGAGCAGAAAAGTCCCCTGGAAGCAGGCTCATTAAGAGCAACAAAAAGATTTCCTTTGATATATTCTTCTAATACGTTGTAAACATTAATCAGTCCCTGTTTCATTGCCTGCAGTATCCCATGTGTTGGTAAATTCAAAGTTTATGGTCTAGGGGTTCTGTGGCAATCCCAGAGATGTCATTTACTAATGAAGGCAACTGGAGCTTGTTGCCCAATTTTTCTTGCTTTTTCGTTATGAGCACCCAGCTGGTGGAATAAATGAACAGAGTCCACTGCTCATCAGTGTTTCAATCTGATTGGATGTTATGACCTTGGGCAAATGAGCTGCAGTGTTTAGAGATGATGGGGGGCAAAGCAAGCCCAAGGTTTTGTAGGGGGCCTTAATAGAACTCGATTTGGGGGCCAAAGCACAGCTCAGTCTGTCTGATATGTCTTGCGATGTATTCTAATTATTAATGCATTATTCCTCTGCCAGAACCACTGTTATGTAAGCATATATTGTGAAACCAAAATATACTAACTTAACTGCAAATGAATGTATATATTGATAATGTTTGTTCAAAAGTGTTTAAAAGGTTTAGTTTGTCTTCAAAATCCCAGCCTCTAAGGCAATCTACAAAAATCACGTAAGTGTTATTAGGGATGTAAGAAAATTGATTTTGTCTAATATCCTGATATCTCATCAGAAAATATGTGTCTATTCATTCCAATAGCTTGTTAAACAATATGAGTAATGATTCAAAATGGGACCCAATGGATCCTAAATGTGAAAAGTATTTATAGGCAAACATTCGTTTCACCTAGTCTGTTACTGTTTGGCTGTGACTCCATGCTGGATAGAAATATCAGCTGTGCTGTTCCCATCTTGACTAACTGTAGGTGCTCTCTTCATCCTCTGACATGGGAGCTTGCTTGGAGC